TTGCAGTGGCCTTGAACAAATTTGGCAGTGAGATCTCTTCACTGTTGTCTGTCCCAGCTAACCTTGTTGGTCACATTGTGCGAGGAGTGAGCTCACTATTTAAAAAGAAGTAGCTCTCCTGGTGAAGAAATTAGATACATAATATACTATATATGTGTATGCTCTGGGCTGTGTCTGGTGTGTGTGCTTTTCACTTTCATTCAGCAAAGCTTTAAATATAACAAGTGGCTTCTGGAGAATTTCGATGCCTGGCCCACATTGGATAGAATAAATGCATGGACACTTTGGTATAGCATGTTCACTTTTAGGAAATGTACATGTGTGCAAAATCATATCTATGTATATGTACATACGTACAAGAGGTTCACTGAGGCTTTGCTTCTAATGGCAAAAGATTGCAAACCACTCAACGCTCATTTGTCTAAATCGGCAGTATGTGTTTTGATGCACAAATACTGGAACACTGTTGCTAGTGAATAGACAGTGGGGCTCTGTCTGTGTAAATATAGAACCATCTGGAAGATATATTGTCAAGTGAAAAAATGAGTCACAAAACAGTTTGTATAATGTGTTCACCATAAAAAGGCAATTATTATGGGCACTCATACACATGTATACGTAGCACATTTCCGGAAACGTCATTGGAATTGGCATCATTGGTTCTCTCTGGGGAGAACAGCTTGGCATCAGGGGCGGAAAGGACATGTGCTTTTCATTATATTCTCTATCTTTTCCATTTTGTAAAGCTTGTGTTGTCATTTCTTGAATAACAAAGAAAACAAAGTATAATACTAATAATTAAAATAATAAATGGAATATGATAAATGGAATTGCTCATTGCTTCTAGAAATGACATCAGCCTGCTCAGTAAGGGGTCTAAGACTAAGATCAGAGTACTAGAAAATAAAATTTGCATCCTAATCTTGTTTTTGTTTTGGCCTTGGTTTTTAATCCCTTATATTTGCTTCAAAAATAAGGTATGAACTTTCCTGTTACCCCTTGAAATCTCAGCAAGAGTAACCTTTACTTCATATGTTTGAATTACACTTTTAAGGTGTTTAGAAGCCAGTTACTAAACATTAAGAATATTCACTGGTGAGAGGAATTCCCATCATCCTTAAGTTCAGTGGTGGCCTCTCTGCTGTAGGCAAGCACAGAAGGGGCATTCACCACTGCAGAAATGGATGCCTTGACAGCACTGGGGGATGATACACCCAGACGCACGGAGGCCAGGTGTTGGCACTTAAACGCCACTATCCAAGTACATACAATGAGAGTAATGAGCATCGTGGTTTGTCTTAGCTCAGGCTGCTATAGCAAACTACCATAGATTGGGTAGCTTACAAAACGAACATTTATTTCTCCCAGTTCTGGTGGCTGTAAGTCCAAAAGCAGTGTGCCAGCATTGTTATTTTCTTGGTAAGGGTCCTCTTCCAGCTTTAATGACACATTTCTTACTGTGTCCTCACATGATGAAGAGAGGAAGAGAGAGAATGAATCTCGTGATTCTTTGTCGTACTGGCACTAACTAGATTCGTGAAGGCCCCACACTCCTTGCCTCCCTCCCCCCAAACCCCACTTCCAAGCACATTGGGACATTGGGAGTTGGGGTTTCCTCCAATGAATTCTGGAAAACACAAACATTCAAACATTCTGTCTATAATATGGTTGGAGAGGCAGCCAGCAGACCTGACCAGAGAAAATTCTAAAGATGGCAGGTGGAACAAGGTGTCTGTAGAGAAAAAAGGAATGGGGAGGAAACAAATGGAATCAAGGGTATTTATCAGGAGGCTGAGAGGTAGCAGGATAAAAGGGGATGATCCCTAGCCTTCATCTAAACCGATCTCATATCATGAGACTACCACCCGGGGAGGGGGGCCAGCTCCCAAGAAAAAGGCCCTCGCAGCTCTGGGATGAGGATAAATGGTACTGATTTTCCCAGTCCTCTCCTAGGGGAGCTCTGGGAATGCACTCGAATCTGTGTGCTGGGACATGAGAATGCCCAGACATTCCAAGGACTCTAGCAATCAGGATCCCAGCTAGCAGCGATGCCCAGCTCCTGAAAAGACATCACAGTGTCCCTGTTAGAGATGCACGTGGCACCCTGGAAAGAAACGCGGTCTTGGCCCAGGTGCAGCTAACTTGGTCTAGTGTTTGGTTTCAAATAAGAGTAAAGTTCATCTGAGGACAGACACCATTATATGTACTTTTCTGTATTTCTTCATAGTGTATGTTTAGGCACAGAGGGTACTAAGTAAGAATCTTCTGGAAAAACAAAAAGCTGACACAGGTGTGAGTGTTTTCAATTGCCAGAATTCCATGAACACTCCAAAACTCTGAGGTAATAGATCGTTTGGATTTCAGACATTAGATTAAAGTCTCTGAGTTGACTTAAGGGCCAGTGGAGCAGAAGAAACGCTTTCGGTACAGTCTCCCCTTCTGTGACCTTATGCACCACAGTCTCTGTATCTCTGCGAGGATGTTAACTCATCTCCACTGGAGATTTTAAATCACTCCATCTAGCCGTGGCTTCAAGTCTTCAGAAGGAAGAATGAACGGCTTTGCCTTTTAAAGAAGAAAGCATATAGTAATGAATATGTGACCAATGTATCGTGGGGTTTAATGGAAAAGCAAACCATCCTACGGAAGTATCTGTAAATCTTACCCCACTGAGAGCTTGACTAAAGTAGACGTTCTAACCGCTTGGGCCAGACACACCCTGAATTGAAGAGCAAAGAGAAGTCTTGCCTTTTTTAGATGCAACATGTAAGTGATACCACACAGTTCTTGTCTTTCTCTGACCTGTCTCTCAGCATAATGTGCTCAAGGCCCATTGATGTTGCCAATGGCCGGATATCCTCCTTCCTTGTGACTGAATAATACTCCCTTGTGTATATGTATATGGGCCACATCTTTCGTATCCATTAACGTGTTGATGGGCATTTAGGTTGTTTTCATTTCTTGGCTATTGTGGCTAATGCTGCAGTAAACATGAGTGCAGGTATCTCTTTGAAATACTGGTTTTTTTTTTTTCTTTCAGTAAAAAAAATAAAATAAAACTGACTTATAATGATCACTTAATAAAAGAAAAATGCTGTCAAAAGTAGTTAACAATTTATTCACACATCTATTCTAATTCTCACTAAAGAATGCTTAGTTCTAAGTATTTACACTTTGCTGTATTCTTATGTCCTCCCTGCCATTGTTCTGGATTATGTAAAGAGAGAAAAGCAAAGATCTTGTCCTCATGCAGCTTACACCCTGTATGGGCCTCACACAACATTATTTAGGCAGTAATAAATATTGTAAATATATATACATGTATACACACACACACGTATATATCTTACATGCAGTGATTAAGAGTCCAAGTGGAAACCAAACAGTCCTTTTTTTAAGTTTGGCTTTAATCTAGTGCATCTTGCCTCGGGTTGTAACTGTGCATTATAGAGCCCTAAGGACCAAATAGGACAACAGTAAAGTAAGGTGAAACCCAGCGTGCCTGGTGATTGAAAGAATGGATAAGTAGATGAATGGCTGGATGAATGTGTAAGTGTAACATCTGTTTATCATTTCAAAGGGTAATAAATATCCCTCCTATTACCGATAGGCAATAAAGTAATGGCGTTGACTAAGAATTCTGTGTTCTTTGATCTCTACTCCTCTATCACCTGTACAAATTTATTGTGTTTTAACAAACTAAAGTGGATTCTGTTTCTATGACTGTACTGTGACTGGTACGTCAGCGCTGGAATGTTCTTCCTAGCGTCTCTTTCCATGGAAGTGTGGCTGTGCTGCTCAACAGTGTTACTTGGATGGAATTCCTTTTACTTCAGATAACAGAGTCTTATTCCCTGAACACTGTTTTTGTGGACAAGTGGCCCACTGTTTTGTGGACAGTGGTCCCATGCTGCACTGAATATGGTGCCCACTCTTGGCTCAGGAAACAGTCCCTGATCAACCATGAACAATGAATTCCTCCCCGGATATATTTGGTCTAAGGCCCCAATCTCTCTCTGTCCCTGCTGACTGCCCATTTGTAATATAAATTGCAGACAATCAAGTTCTATTTTCCTTCCACTTAAAAAACCTAGTTATTTTATTTTGGTGAAATATACACAACTATTAACTATTTTAACTATTTAAAGTGTACAATATAGTGTGATTAAGTATATTCACACAGATGTTACAATCAGCATCGCTGTCCACCTCCAACCCTTTGCATCATGCTCAACTGAAATTCCGTATCCAGTAAACAAGTCCCCACTTCCCTTGCCCCGAGCTCCTGGTGATCGCGAGTAAACTTTCTGTTTCTATGAATTTAACTACCCTGGACACCTCATATAAATGACATCATGTAGTATTTTTCTTTTGTGACTAGCTTATTTCAGTTAGCATAATGTCCTCAGGTTTATTTAGGTTGTAACCTGTGTTAGAATGGCCTTCCTTTTTAAGGCTGAATATTATTCTATGGTAAGAATTACTACATTAAAAAAATTTTATAGAACTTTTACGTTTCCACCTAATTTGCAATTATTACAAAGTACTGGCCATATTCCCCCTGTTGTGCAGTACATCTTTGTGGCCTGTCTTACACCCAGCAGTGCGTTACTCCCACTTCTCCCACTCCTCCACACCTATATTGCCCACCCCACTCCCCAGTGGTAACTGCTGGTTTGTTCTCTGTATCTGTGAATCTGCTTCTTCTTTTTTGTCATATTCAATAGTTTGCTGTATTTTTTAGATTCTACATATAAGTTATATCATATAGTATTTGTTTTTCTCTGCCTGACTTATTTCACTCAGCATAATGCCATCCAAGTCCATCCATGTTGCTGTTAATGGCAAATTTTCATTCTTTTATGGCTGAGTAGTATTTCATTGTGTGTGTGTATGTGTATATATATATACATCCATTGTGATATATATATATATATCATTATTCATTGTGTGTGTGTGTGTATCACATCTTCTTTATCCGTTTATCTGTTCATGGACACTTAGGTTGCTTCCATACCTTAGCAACTGTAGATAATGGTGCTGTGAACATTAGTGTGCATGTATCTTTTCAAATTAGTGTTGTTGTTGTTGTTGTTGTTGTTGTTGTTGTTTTAATATATACCCAGGAGTGGAATTGCTGGCTCATACAGCAATTCCATTTTGAGATTTTTGGGAAACCTCCATACTATTCCCACAGCGGCTGCATGAATTTACTTTCCCACCAAGAGTGTGCTGAGAGTTTCTTTTCTCCACATTGTTGCCAACATTTACTATTCGTGTTCTTTTGATGGCAGCCATTCTGACCAGTGTGAGGTGATAATGTACCACAATTAATTCATCCATTCATATACTGACGGACAACTAGACTGTTTTCACTGTTCAGTTGTTTTGAATAATGCTGTGATAAACATTGGTGGACAACTATATGTTTAAGTTCTTACTTTCAGTTCTATTGAGATATATAACTAGAAGTGGAACTGTTGAATCAAATGGTAATTTTATGTTTAATTTTCTGAGGAATTGTTATACTGTTTTCTACAGCAGCTTTTCAATTTTGCATTCCTACCAACAATGTACAAGATTTCCAATTTCTCTACATCCTCAGCAAAATTTGTTTTCTATTTCTCAAGGAATAGTAACCATTTTAATGTGTGTGAAGTGTACCTCATTCCCTTACTGAACAATGATGGTGAGCACCTTTGCAGGTGCTTATTGGCCGTTTACATCTGTTACCTGGAGAAGGTCTGTTCAAGTCCTCCAATGTTTCTGAATTGAGCTCTTTGTTGCTGTTGTTGTTGGGTTAAAGTGGTCTTTATATATTCTGAATATTAATTTCTTATCAAATGTATGATTTGTAAACATTTTCTCCTATCCTATGAGTTAACTTTTATGTTGTCTTTTGATATGCACAAAAGTTTTAAATTTTTGTGAAACACAGTTTATCTATTTTTTCATTTGTTGTCCACACACACTTTTGGTATATGCAAGAAATCATTGTCAAATCCAATAGAATGAAGATATTCCCCTACGTTTTCTCCTAAGAGATTTTGTTTAGCTTTTACATTTAGATCTTATATCTATTTTGAGTATAATTTGGAATATGGTGGAAGGTAAGGGTACAGCTTAATTCTTTGCACGTGAATATCAAATTTCCCCAGTACCATTTGAAAATATTGTGCTTTTCCCGTTGAATGGTCTTGACACCCTTGCCAAATCACTTGACCATGTATGGGAAGGTTTATTCACTCTCTTGGTCTATGTGTCTATTTGGATCACAGTAGTTTGTAGTAAGTTTTGAAATCAGGAGGTATGATATCTCCAGATCTGTGCTTCTCTTTCAAGATTTTTTCTTTGTTTATTTGGGATTCTTGAAATTCCCTATGAATTTTAGGATGAGTTTTTCTTTTCTGCAAAAAATATCATTGGAATTTTGATAAGAATTGCATCAGATCTGTAGATTGTGTTGGGTAGTACTGACATCTTAGCGATATTAAAACTTCCAACCTATGAACCTGGATGTCTTCCCATTTCTTTATGTCTTATTTAATGTCTTTTGGCAATGTTGATAGTTTTCAGTGTGCAAGTCTTTCCCCTTCTAGGCTAAATTTATTTTTAATTATTTTAATCTCTTTGATCCTACTTTAAAAGGGATTGCTTTCTTAATTTTTTGAATTGTCATGTTAGTGTATAGAAATGCAACTGATTTTTGATTGTTGATTTTGTATCCTCAAAATTTGCTGAATTTGTTTATTTTTTCTAATATTTTTGGTGAAATCTTTGATATTTCTACATTTAAGATCATATCATGTGTTAAGAGAGAATTACTTCTTTTCCAATTTCAAATCTCTTTATTTCTTTTCCTTGTTTTATTGCACTGGCTAGTACTTCTAATACTATGTTAAATAGAGGAGGCAAAAATGGGCATTCCTGTCTTTTTCCTTATCTTAGGGGAAAAGATTTCAGTCTTTTGTCATTGAGTATGATGTAAATGGATTTTTCATGTATGGTTTTTGTCATGTTGAGAAAGTTTTCTTCTATTCCTAACTTGTTGAGCTTTTTTTTTTAAAGAAGGATTGTTAAATTTGGTCAAAGTATTTTTGTGAATCAATTGGATGATCATTTTTTTCTTTATTCTCTTAACGTGGTATATCACATTGATTGATTTTTCTATTTGGAATCTACAGGATGTAATCAACATTTATGAATATCAAAAACATCAGAACACACATTCTTCTCAAGCTAACATGCAACATTCACAAGATAGACCTCATTATGGATCATAAAACACACCTTAAAAATTGAAAGGAATAGAAATGTTACAACGTATGTCTCAGACTACAGTGAAATTAAACTAGAAACCAACAACAGAAAGATAGCTGGAAAGTCCTAAAATACCTGGATAGTAAACAACGCACTTCCACAGTATACGTAGGTCAAGCAAGTCTCAGGAGGGATTTTAAAATGTATTCAATGAAATAAAAATACAACTTATCAAAATTTGTGAAATGCAGTGAAGGTTGAAGGAGACTTGCGAGTTTTTTCTTTTGCCATGAGATGTAATCTTACGGAGACCGTAAACTCAATTTTGGGAGGGGAATGAGAAGACACCATGCAGCTATCTGGGTACTTTTAAAATTCATCTGAGTAGATAAGTATCCACTCTTTCTCCAACTAGTCTTTTCAGCCTGTGGTAGTTGCTTTTGGGGACTTACATTTCCCAAGAACCCCAGGAGGGGGAAGGAGCCCTAAAGCTGAGTGATTGTAGAGAGTTTAAGGGCTAGAGTGGGAAGGGGAAAGTCTGATAAGGTAGATTGAGGGTTGAAGTATGTAGGTAGGGAAACATAATAATAGATCTCAGGATAGAGATCTATTTGATTTGAAGGGGAACATATTAGCATCTCAGGTCTTGGAATAGCCAGTATCCTTTCCATTTGGCTTTTTAACAGCCAGAATGAAAGTGTTGCATGGGACAGAAGTAGGAACCACGAGTACCTTATCTAATAGTTCTTGAACTATTGGGCAGCATCCATCAAGTTTCTCTTCTGTTATGTTATATTGGGGAATCTTAGGGAGAGGCATGGACAACCACCTCTACCTATCACAGCATTCTATTACAGGGTTCTCCACCCAACAAATGCCCAATTTCAATTGAATTCCTGTCTATAAAGAGGAGAAATCCTGTCCACTAGTTGGCTTAAGTCCACAGTAAGATGGGTACTAGGTTGAAGAGGACAGAGAAGCTTAAGGAAGTCAGGCAAAACCATTAGAGGAAACAGAAGTGAAGGAAATGAATAGGAGACCTGAGAAAGAAGCCCTGCAGGATCACAATGAAGTGTAATACCCCAATCCATGAAGCTGTTGGGGTAGTTCGTCTAAGAGGAAAATTGTGTAGAGACAGAAGAGATCTTATAAACACACTGAGGGGCTGGGAGGCAAACTATGAGGCAAATTATCAAAACCCACCATTGGCAGTTTGGTGACTTTGAAGAAGGTGCCAGAAAAGGAAGCAGTGTTAACAGTGAAGTATGTCACTCTGATATTAAAGAGAAATGTGGCAGGGCGCCCTTCGACTCACAGGGGTAACCTCACCCTGTGAATTCAGTGGGAATTGTGGGCAAGGAATGTTCGCTTTCTCAGAGCTAAGTTACTATTCCTCCTGTGTAGAGCATTTTGGTGGCTTTTCGTTCTGTTTGGAGTCTTGACAGTCAGAAACCCAATGGGTTTTTTTCTTTGTAATACCAGCAAGTATCCTGTTCAATGGAGGCCCATATTTTGGGGTCTTGTCTTTGTTCAGGTTTTTCTAATTGTTTTAATTGTAAAGCCATGTGATTTGATTGTGTATTTTCTATTTTTTAGAAATGTTAGCCTCACAGTGCTGGGCTAATGTCTGAAGTTCAGAAACCTCAGCATTTTAACAGTAGATTTTTTTTCCTGACTGTCATGAAGCTCAAGTCTTACACCATCTGGAAAGCTGTGGCTACAGCAAAGGCTATTTTAGTAACTCAGTTCAAGCCTTGACTGCTCTTTCCAAATAGTTTCCAATTGCTGGTGTTAATTTGCCACAATTCATCCTTCAGGTTGTCTACAATTTTGAACACGTAACCAAAAAATTTTAACAGGACAAAACTTAGAATGGCTTCTAACCCCTTTTCTCTAACTCTTTTACTCTCTGACTGAACTCAGCATGGTTTGAGACCCTTAAGGTCTTCCAAGATAGTGGTCCATTTAGCTTTCTGAAACCAAAGAAAGGCATCTCCACAAATAAGTGGATAAGTTGATAAAAGTTGGGGAATCTCAGAGAGTAAGCAGCCAAGGCCTCTTGAATCATTGTGTAACTTCCCTCTTTCCTTTTGGGACTTGGGGATATCATTTGCCATGCAATTTGATTGAAGACAAAGGTTTAAATGTTACTTTCTCAGTTTGTTCATGGTTGGGAGTAGGTGGTGGGAGTGGTTTGAGCATTATCCACAGAAGGTGGAGAACCAATAGATTTAGTCTTCAAAGTAAACTGAAAAGCAGGAGAGCACTTTGAGATGGAAGTGAAAGAGAGAGCGAAGAGGGAAGAATGGAGGCTCTGTAGGATAGGGCATAGGGGACTGTGCTTGGGCAAGGCCAAGAAGGATTTCAGGGTCTGAATCAGTGATCTTAGAGACTTTTTTCTTGGGCTTCTCTAAGACAAAAGTCAGCAGGTATTCAAGAAGGAAGGTCTTCAGTCAACTGAGAAGCTCCCATGTTCTAGATCAGAGAGGTCTGGGATTCTAATGCAGTTTCAAAATTATACAGACTGAAATTCGAAATCTGTCCTTACTGGTCTGTCTTCTGAAGCACTGGATCAGGAGTTGAAGTCACTAATGGATCCCCTATCAGTAAGTCAGGAATGAAAAAAAAAGTCTTAACAAGTGCACAACTGGAGTCCAAGGTGAACATTCTGCGGGGCACAATGATAAATCTGATCTTGTGTGAGTTGCAGTACCAGACTATAATGGAAATATTATACTAACACTTCTCAAAATAGCAAGGAAGACTTTATTCAAGATTATTGCAATAGGGGTCAAGGCTGTTGCAATAGAGAAGAAAGGCTGAGGTTAATTCCAAATACAGAAAGGTCATCTGGGGTAATATAGTTGAAGAGCAGAATTAGAGGTTCAGTGGAAGGAAAGTTACTAAAAGACAAGGGTAAGGAGATTCTTGCTAAACTAGATTCTTAATAGGATTTTGATAGGACAGGCCAAGGATTTAGATATTAAGAATCTTAGTCGGTTTGGGGTGCCATGACAAAAATACTGTAGACTGAGTGGCTTAAATGACAGAAATTACTTTCTCACAGTTCTGGATGCTGG